ATATATAATTAAAAACTTTTTTTTAAAATTGCAATAATATTTCACAGTATTACTGTTTTACTGTAGTTTTGATTAAATAAACACAGCCCTTATCAGCATAAGAGACTGCTTTTAAAAACATGACAATCTTACCAGTCCCAATCTTTTAAACAGTAGTGTATGTAACTGTCAGAAATTAATTTGAAGTATTTTTGTCCACAGAAAACCGCATCCCCTTCTCAGCCGTGTATAAAACAATAGGCTTTAAAGAGCCCGGGGCACATGTGTTTCTTACTGCGCTTCCCATCACCGCCAAAATCCTGGAGGTGGAACGCTTCACTTCTGCCCAGGATCGCTTCAACATCACCTCCCAGAGAAGCGTCTCTAAGGTGAGATCTCCCACTCCCGTTCCCTTTCATGAAGTGTTAGTATGTGGGCTGAGGAGGTATATTTGTTGCTCGGGAGAATTAGAGGTTTCCAAGGCAATTTACGTGTTGCCCTGGAGATTTGGACACCATATACAAAAATACTTAGCACATGCAAAATAGTTTTTAAGAAGAATAATGACAAAATAATGAATCTAATGAAGACCCATCCCTCATTTTTGGAAATAGTTTGTTAAAGGTTTAAATAGCTGAAATCTTAAAGGAATAATTAATTATTTGCAGCATACAGGTTGAAAAAACATGAGGGTGAGTAAATCATAGCAGAATTTATTTTCTTTATCCTTTTTTTCTAATGGCTGTTCATGTATCCAGTCACTTCCTGCAGTGTTTAAGATAGAAATGAGACATGGAAACTTCACCTGGTTGATAAAGAGGAAGGAGAAACATTTTATGGAGCTTCACAGGGAACTACGCACCTACAAGACCTTCCTGAGAATTCCACTGCCGTCCCGCAGGTGACCCGATCTAAAATACTAATTTAAATTATGTAAATTAATATATGTAAATTGTATATTTATATTAGTAATGTATGTAGAGATTAGGCATATATATACATATGTTTGTATATATTATATTATAACTTTTCCACGACATTCTAATTTATTGAGATGCACCTGTATTTCATCCCCAAGCAAAGCATGACTTAGTAATTGGCGCAGAAACCCTTGTTGGCAAGCACAGAGGTAAGACGTTTTTTTGTAGTTGTTTTTTGTAGTCACCAGAGGATCAAATAAATATTTTCCCCACTGTATTAGGAATTTTTTAATTTTTTAGTTTTTTTATATAAAAAAAACGTGAACTACCTTTCAAAAGTTTGGAGTCTAAGATTTTTTTTTTTTTTTTTTTTTTTACAGATGTCTCTTATGCTCACCAAGGCTGTATTTATTTGATAAAAATACAGTAATAAAAACATTGATATTGTGAAATATTATTGCAATTTAAAATAAATGTTTTATATTTTAAACTGTAATTTATACCTGTGAAGGCAAAGCTGAATTTTCTGCATCATTACTCCAGTCTTCAGTGTCACATGATCCTTCAGAAATCATTCTAATATGCTGGTGCTCAAGAAACATTTCTTCTTATCAATGTTCAAAGGAACATCATTTATTTGATGTAGAAGTATTTTGTAACTTTATAAGTGTCTTTACTGTAATTTTTTATCAATTTAATGCATCCTTGCTGTCTTGTGGCAATCTTAAGATCTCTTCCTCTGTCTTTGCCATTTTTTTTTCTTTCGGTCAACAGTCATGCAGAGCGGAGGCACACTATTAACAGGAACCTTGAACGGAACATGCCAAGTCTACCCCGGGGAGGAGGCGAAGAACTGGCCAGGGAAGAGCAAGTCTCCAGTCGAAAAGTCAGTTTCCTGTTTCACTGATGCACCTGACAACTTCATATGATTGGTGTCTGACTAGTGTGATTTCCTTTACAGAGACAACTTGAAGACTACTTGAATAAGCTGCTTAAAATGCCATTGTATAGAAACTACCATGCAACAGTATGTGTATATTTGGATTTTGTACAGTATATCAGTCCGTATGTTGTTTCTTGAATTACATGCATTTACAACCTGTCCTGTTTTGTGCCATAGATGGAATTCATTGATGTGAGTCAGCTGTCCTTCATTCATGATTTGGGACCAAAAGGCTTGTAAGAGTCTTTGTTTGTTAGCTATGAAGCCAATGAAGTTTTAATAATTATTTATAGATATATTATTGCATTTTGTGACATTTTGCACTGTTTCCTTCCCAGGGAGGGCATTGTTCTCAAAAGGTCAGGGGGTCACCGTATTCCTGGACTGAACTGCTGTGGCCACAGCAAAATGTGCTACCGCTGGTCCAAACGGTCAGTTTGGTGTCATTCATTTTCAAATTATACAGGATCACAAAACAATCACCATGTGACTTAACCTTACTGTTGGTCTTTACAGGTGGATGGTGGTGAAGGACTCTTTCCTTGTCCTCATGAAGCCAGACTCAGGTGCCATCTCATTCGTCCTGCTAGTGGATAAGGCTTTCGGCATCAAAATGGACACTAAAGACACTGAAACGAAGCATGGTGTCCGCATAGACAGTCTGTCCAGGTGTGTGCACTCACATGGTCATTAAGGCAATATGCAGTTGACATGCACCATCATTTTTTTGATAAAGTGAAAGAGCTTTTTGCTTTTTGAAGGACTCTGGTGCTGAAGTTCACAAGTTACCGTCACGCCCGCTGGTGGGGGCAGGCCATCGATGATTTTGTGCGCAAATACGGCAGCAATTTCCTTAAGGGTCACCGCTTTGGTTCCTTTGCCAATGAACAGAAGAACATCCCATCTAAATGGTAAATATTGCTTTTTACATGCATCCGATGACTAAAAAGATGATTTCATATCATAGCTGCTTTGAGGTGGGTACTTTTGACTTTTGCCAATAAGCTACCACCTAGCAATACCCTGGCAACCTTTTACAGACAGGAACCACTCACATTTTCTTCAGAAAATTTAAAGTCCTAGCAAAATTTTAGCCTTAGTATTATTATTTGTTTCTTTATAATTTGGGTTTTATGAAGCACACTAAAGCTAACGTTTAGCTTAAAACTTTTAGTTTATGAAAACTTCAATTATTAAAACTTCGTTATTAAACTTCATTTTAGCTAACTTTCAGCTTAGGTTTTTTATCAAATTATAATATATTAGCTATATATGTATCTATTCAATCTTATCTTATATTATATTATATTATATTACTGATTAAATTATTTCTTGGGGGGGAAAAGTATAACTTTTAGCTTTAGTTTTATATTAAATTATGTTAGCTATTATATTGTTTTGTGTATTATGTTAATTTATTATTTGTTTTCAGCTAATATATTTCAAAACCATTCCGAAAAATCAATAATGCAGCTAGCAGAAGCAGGTCTCAAAGGTTTCCCAGAACAGATAAACATGTGAAAGCTTCAGCCGTCTGCCGCTGTGTCTTCGGGTGAGGCCTGTTTCACAGGAGTAACTCGAGAGAATGAGAGGGAAAGTGTAACCATAGACTCCATCCTCTTTTGACCCCGTGGAGGAGTGCGATAGTATCTAGGGCTGCAGCTTCACTTCTGATCTGGGCAGATGATTTGTTGTTCATTGTTGCAGCATTAAGCCCTATTAGCATGCTTGTTCTCTGAATAATGAAAATTATGTAATTAAGTTTGAGAAACAGTGAGAGTGTGAGCTTGAGACTATCAGCCTTACCCATTGATTTGACTGACTGGGTGTGTATTTCAGGTATGTGAATGGGAAGCAGTACATGGAGGACGTGGCGAATGCACTGGAGGAGGCGGAGGAGGAGATCTTTATCACCGACTGGTGGTATGTTGAGATAAAACCACTACCATCCATTCAGCTTTCCTCTGGGTACCATTGATTTATTTTAGAAGTAATGCATAGATCAGATGAACTGCATCGGTTAATATATCCAATGTGTTTGCATTTTTTTTTTTATCCTTTATTAATTTAATTTAATTTAATTTAATTAAAAAAATATCCTTATCCAGTAACCATATATGACTGAACAACTGAATGGAAAGTGTGAGAACTAGGATGGAAGAGATGGTTTGCTTATTGCTTTGTCCCGTCATAACAGTTAGGTCATGAACTGAGAGAAAAGCCCAAAGAAATGTAGTAGAAAAAAGAGAAGCAAAGAAAGATAGTTGTACTTTGTACGCACCCTCTCAGAGGGCACCTCCAGCTGGGAGCCAAACGGATCCGTTACCTTTATCAGACAGATGCCTGGTGCTGTGTTACAGCATCACACAGTCATCGCAGCAGACATCCTGCAAGTGTGAGATTTGAGTGTGTGTGTATGTGTGCTTTTTTCCCCTAGCTTAATAAGTTTGAATTTATGTAGGGGATAGTGAGATGTGAGACTAGACGTTGATGCATATTTGATGTTACAAATGCTTCCCCTACTGATGAGGTCTCTGTGTGTCACGGCAGGCTGAGCCCTGAGATCTTCCTCAAGAGGCCTGTCGTCGAGGGCAACCGCTGGAGACTCGATTCCATTTTGAAACGGAAAGCGGTGAGTTAATCCAACCAATAGCTGTGATGAAACTGCTATCCATCTGTGGCTTTACTGCACCAGCAATAAAACCTTCTCATTCACTGTTCTCATGTAATAATTTACACTTCAGGGTGTTTTCTCTTTTCTTAGTAATATATTAATATTGGCTGGCGGATTTGCTGTACTGATTATCAAGAACTGTTTGTTCTTGCAGCAAAAAGGTGTGCGGATCTTTGTGATGTTGTACAAGGAGGTGGAATTGGCTCTCGGCATAAACAGCGAATACAGCAAACGGACACTACACCAACTTCACCCAAATATCAAGGTGAGATGAAAGTAGTGAGTTCATGAATCAGCCCTCATGAAGCTCAGACCTACAGCGGTTTGATTACCGACAGGTCATTGACTATTAAAATGAATCCTATAGGAGACTTTAGTTGACAAATTAGAGAATTTCTTGTGTGAAAAAAGTCAAATTGGACCTCATATGCCAATAATATATTTGTAAAATATTTAGATATTTTTTTAGAAAACCATTAATGGACCCACTTCATCCTTAACTACTGTGTACTTGCATTTGAATTAATCATTCAATACAGTGCACTTATTGTGTACATACAGTGGGTACGGAAAGTATTCAGACCCCCTTAAATTTTTCACTCTGTTATATTGCAGCCATTTGCTAAAATCATTTAAGTTAAATTTTTTTTCCTCAATGTACACACAGCACCCCATATTGACAGAAAAACACAGAATTGTTGACATTTTTGCAGATTTATTAAAAACGAGTAAGTTTATTCAGTATTCAGACCCTTTGCTCAGTATTTAGTAGAAGCACCCTTTTGATCTAATACAGCCATGAGTCTTTTTGGGAAAGATGCAACAAGTTTTTCACACCTGGATTTGGGGATCCTCACAATCTTTAACCACTACGCCACACCAATGAAACAAAGAGAAGGAAATACTTTTTCTAACAAACTTCTTTTCTCAGGTGATGAGGCATCCTGATCACGTCTCCTCTTCCGTGTACCTGTGGGCGCATCATGAGAAGATTGTAGTCATTGACCAATCGGTGGCTTTCGTGGGAGGCATTGATCTGGCATACGGGCGCTGGGATGATCTGGAGCATCGGCTGACCGACATAGGAAGTGTTACCAGGACTCTTCCTGTGTCTGCAGAGGTTTGGGACATCTCATATTTTGGTTTTATGACATGCTGGCAGTGTTATTTATAAACTATTATCTCTCTATTAATATTTTAAATTAGCTTTAATTTTTATGTTTTCATTTAATTTTCATTCAGTTTTGGTTTTAGTAATTTTAGTTCTTAAACTCATTTCAGTTATTTGCCAAAGCAACCTTTCTAAAAAAAATTTTTTATATATATATAATGTTTTTTTTTTAGTTTACATTTTTCATTTAATATTATATTTTAATATTTTCATTTTAATAGTTTTTTTATTAGTTTTAATTTACAATGACACCATTCCATTCTGAATGTCCTGTTCGTTTTAGACATTAAATCTTTTATGAATTCACAATCGATTATAGGAAGTACTTACTTGTTGTCCTACTATGTGTCTCAGAAAGCTTCTGAAGGCTCTCCTGCTATGGCCTCTCAATCAAATGGACCCAGCATGGTGCACACTAATGGCAAAAGTTTGCCTGTTGACACAGCGGACCAGCCGAAACTAAAAGGACAGGGGAAGACCAAGAAGGCCCGATTCAGCATCCGCAGGCACCTGCAGAAACACGGGCTGGCGCCTGCAGACAGCGTGAGCAGCGTCGAGAGCTCTGAAGAAAGTGAGTACGCCTCCGTCTCTGGAGCGCTGGCGAATGCAGACTAGTGAAATGTTACTGACCTAAACTCCCACATTCAGCTGTTATCACACAGCACGGCTGATTTTCTAATGATCACTGGCAGCGCTTTCATATGAGTGACCAACTTATGCAATGATTTACAGTGTTTACCATAAGTGCAGAAAAACATGAATCATTAACATTTTAGTTGAGGCTTGTGAAAACAGTTCTGACTGTAAGATGAGGATTGGATGTGATATTAAAATGTGTTGTTATAAAATATACTCATGAATATTTTAGTCTAGAATCTATATTCATGTTCAAATTTTCACTCACGTTTTCTATAACGCTTTTTAAGAGGGTTGTCTAGGTTATAAAGATGCCCCTTTTCTTTAGGTTATTCTAACAGTATTTGCAGCCACCAAAATTTGATCCCTCTTAAATGGATTGAGCTGAGGGTGTCCATGCCCTCCTGCTTGTGCCCAAGTGGTGAGTAAGAATCAGGCTTGGGTGAGATGTTTCAGGTGTGGACTCTGTCAGAGGTTGCCCCTAATTTTGATCCTGAATGGTTTTATTGAGTCGAAGGTGCAACCTTTTGAAGTGCTCAGAGTCCAAGCACTGTGTGGTTTGCTGTGTTTCAACACTCATCTGGAGGAGTCTGCAAAAATACGATCTGTCTAAGAGGCTGAATATCCAAAGCTTGCACATTCCAAACATGTTAGTTTGGACTGATGCAGCAGTAGCTCAACAGTGTGAAAGCATGGATTGTTTCCAGAAGAAGATGGAAGTTGGAAAAAAATCTGGGTTGAGTTTGGGTTGATGCATGTTTTTGAAAAATAAATTAATATAAGTATATATAAATACATACATGCATACATGCATATAAATAAATATACATACACACACACATACATACATATACACACACAGGTTTACATTTGTGAAAAGTGGGGACATCCCATAGGTGTAATGGTTTTTATACTGTACAGACCGTATATTCTATTGCCCTACACCAATCCTACCCCTAAACCTACCCCTTACAGGAAACTTTGTGCTATTTCAGATTTTCAATACACTCCATTCTGTGTGATTTCTAAGCGTTTTGAAAAGTGGGGACATGGGGTAATGTCCTGAAAAGTCACCTTCTCCTTGTAATACCTATGTCATACCTTTGTCATTATACAAATTGATGTCCTCATTTGTCACAAAAACGCGTACACATGCACGCGCACACACACACACACACACACACACATATATATATATTTATTGTTCTACTCTTGGTTGCATTTTTCTTTGATTTTTGTGTTTTACTGTTGCTGAATTTCTTTGTTTTTCTGTGTCACTCTTATTAGATACTGAAGCGGCACAGGAGCTGCAAGCAGACGTGATTGGTCTGATGGGGAACACGCGGTTCTGGCATGGCAAAGATTATTGCAACTTTGTTCATAAGGACTGGGTCCAGTTGGATAAACCTTTTGATGGTGAATTGTTGTATTTAAAGTTTGCTATTTTTTTTAAATGACCGTGTTTAATGGTTTTAAAATTATTTTTGTTTATATAAATACAATACAATACATAAAAATGAATAAATATAAAAGTGTTATCATCCATACAATATTCATATGTATGTTTGCAAAAATATTACAATATTCAAATTGTACAATTTTAGCATTTTAGCATGCTTTTAAATTAAATTAGAAATTTAAAGTTGCGTTGAATGTTTTTTTAGATTAAAATTATTTACATTTTAATTTAAATTAAATTAAATTTTAATTTAATTTAAATGTAAATAATTTGAATTAAATTAAATTTAAATAAAATTTTTTTTTTTGCAGATTTCATCGACAGGCACATAACTCCCAGAATGCCTTGGCATGACATCGCCTCGGTGGTTCATGGGAAAGCTGCCAGAGATGTTGCACGGCACTTTATTCAGCGCTGGAATTTCACAAAGGTGAGAAAGACAACATTGGCATCATTTAGCGCAATATATCTTCATACGGTCTCTCAATATTTTCAGGGGGGTTTTTTTGGGGATAGTTGACACATAATATCGCTGATTTTTTATGTTAAAATGCATATGAATGTCAAAGAAAAGTATATATATTTTTAACTGATCTGCATTTTTGTCATGTCATTTCCAATGGTCCTGCAGAGAAATTAATTTTAAAAGTACAAATATGTTTTTTGGGTAAAAGTTGCATGCATAATTAAAATGGAATTGGAAAAGCCTCTGTGCTGTTGACTAATATCATAACCATGGCTTTGAATATATGTTTGTATTTGGATTGCCATCTTGTTTCAGATCATGAAGCCCAAATACAGGTCCTTGTCGTACCCATACCTCCTTCCTAAATCTCACACTACTGCAAATGAGATCAAGTATCAGGTCCCTGGCTGCACCCAGACTAATGTCCAGGTACAATTTTATGTAAACATCAATATTCCCATCAGATCTTCTACAGACAAATACCACATACCGCATTCATAATATGAACTCTCTCTTTAATTAGCTGTTGCGATCTGCCTCGGACTGGTCAGCGGGAATAAAATACCATGAGGAGTCGATTCATACGGCTTACGTCAATGCAATTGAAAACAGCAAACACTATATTTACATAGAGGTGTGTGGCACAAAGAACATATACTCAGTTCTCTAAATGTGTTCACATGGTCCCCATCTAATAGCCTCACTGTTGATGTATTGGTTGCTAACCACAGAGACTGTGGCTTTTATATCTATAGAATATACTTGATGTCCTATATTAGCCTTTCAGTGGGCAAATGTGTGTTTCCTCTTTCAGAACCAGTTTTTCATAAGCTGCGCGGACAACAAAGTCGTTCACAATAAAATCGGAGATGCCATTGCCAAGAGGATCATAAAAGCATATCGGTGAGCTGCGTTCAATAATTAGCATCTTTTGTCCAGTCTTCAACCTATTTGTTTTGTATGTCCACAAACCTCTGACACACAAAGGCACATAACTTCTTTAATGAAACACTTGTAAATTAATAAGACATACAGAAAATTGTTTGTCTAAAGACAAAAAGGTATTCTTTATTGGTAAATCAATAGCTGACCATGAATAGATAGACTGTGTAGGGCCATTCTTAAACTGTCTTTCATATTAATATCTCTTACTCTAAAGATAACAAGTGATCTCATGTTCTTTCTTTCTGGTTCACAGGGATGGTAAAAAGTACCGCGTGTATGTGGTGACACCACTGCTTCCTGGGTTTGAGGGGAACATCAACACTGGAGGAGGCAGTGCCATACAGGCAGTCATGCACTTCAATTACAGGTAACACTAAATATTAAGATCTGAGTATTGTGTAGAAAGAAATTTCCTTAGTATATATATACTACTGTTTAAAGAAATAAATACAATATTTCATTCTGTATAGGATGCATAAATTGATCTAAAGTGACAATAAAGAAATTAGAAAAAATGTTGAACTTTTTATTCATCAAAGAATCATGAAAAAAAATTATCATGGTTTCCAAAAAAAGAAAAAGAAAAATGTATTTTAAGTACCAAATCAGCATATAAGACACTGAAGACTGGAGTAATTATGCTGAAAATTAAGCTTGGTTTAATATTATATATAGATGTTATCCATCTTCAGTAGTCCATCTTTTTGGCATAAAGCCGATTATCACAGAAAATACATTGTCAATGCTAGTAAAAGTGAAATACTGAATATAATGTACAGACAAGATTAGTAAGTGTACTGTATAACACTTTGTCTAATAACATGTCTAATACTGTTTATATACTGTACTGTACTTGTGACTATAAATAGTGTTTTAAACTTCAATTGTTTAAAAAGTGTGTTTGATTTCCATTGTACTGTAAGTGCTTTACTGAAGCAGTTATTTTTTATTTGTGGTAAGAGCTTTGCTTGTGTTGAAGACAGCACATTCCTTACGTTTATCTATAAAATTTAAAATATTATTCTTGCTGGCAGTAAATAGTTATCATTTATCACATAAACAGGGAGTGTTTCATTGCATGAATTTATTTACAAATTTTTTAATTATTGTGCCATTTTTTTTTTATATTTTCATGTTTGTGCAGGACCATGATTAGGGGAGACTGCTCCATTATCTCTCAGCTGAAGAAAGAAGGTGAGTACAGAGATATATAAATACCCATAAATGTTTAATCTGTGAAGGCTATATGTGTCATTCTTCAGAGGATCTGGCTTGTACACTAACCAGATGTTCTTCATGGGATTTCTGTGAAGATTCTGTGGTTGACCCATGCAGTTCAGGCACTCCGAGACCTATGTGGTTTTCTGTATCCACGTTTTGAAAAATTAATGACTTGGTTGATTTTATTTGAGTAAATAGTTATCATTTATCACATAAACAGGGAGTGTTTCATTGCATGAATTTATTTACAAATTTTTTAATTATTGTGCCATTTTTTTTTTATATTTTCATGTTTGTGCAGGACCATGATTAGGGGAGACTGCTCCATTATCTCTCAGCTGAAGAAAGAAGGTGAGTACAGAGATATATAAATACCCATAAATGTTTAATCTGTGAAGGCTATATGTGTCATTCTTCAGAGGATCTGGCTTGTACACTAACCAGATGTTCTTCATGGGATTTCTGTGAAGATTCTGTGGTTGACCCATGCAGTTCAGGCACTCCGAGACCTATGTGGTTTCTGTATCCACGTTTTGAAAAATTAATGACTTGGTTGATTTTATTTGTTGGGTTTCAGTGTCAAAGGAGAGGCTCAAACAGACAAGAGCAAGAAAACAAGTATTTCTTGAAGTGCTAACCATCTACCTTTAAAGCGTTTAGGCGTCCCATCCCAAAAACTACATTGTAATGGACAATAATAGATCATTGTCATATATTCTCAAACAAGTTCGCTTATATAAGCTACAACTGTAATAACCCATGAAGTGACTTACTCTGATCTCACATGTCTTAACGCAGCTTTGATAATACTAGATCTTAAAGATGCCTTAAAGGGGTCATAGGATGCTACATGCACTTTTACAAGTTGTTTGAACTGAAATGTGTGTTGGCAGTGTGTGTACACAACCACCCTATAATGATAAAAATCCACCCAGTGTTTTTTTTAAAAATCTGGTTAAATGTTTTCCCCTTTCTCAAATCGAGCCGATCTCAGATGCCTGTCTGTGTGACCTCACACAGACAGACTGTTTACATTTTTGTGCAGTTGTACTTTATATTGTTTGTACATCCAATATTAGTTGACTCTTCACTCAACTGTGTGTCAATAGAACCAAGAACCGTAACAAAGTCAAGTGGAAAGTGTGCTGAAATGGATCATCTTTATGAGCAAAAATACAGTAATAACATTGCTGCTATCAAAGCATTATAGCCATTATAATAGAGTGCATTAGTGTTTGCCCACTTTCTCCGCGGCTTTGGTTCCAGAAGTATTTATTCCATACATTTTTCACCAGTTTTTTTTAAAAAAGTCTGTTAAAATGTTCCCCCCTTCCCAAAAGCGAGCCGATCTCAGATGCCTGTCTGTGTGACCTCACACAGACAGGCCCCTCCCATGATAGTTTGATTGACAGTAGCTTTTCAGCACAGACTGGACTGGTGTCTTACCTTAGACCCGCCCTGAGTGAGCTGTCATCAGTCCGCCATTATTTCACCGCTGGAGCAGATGTAGACAAGAATGACTCCTAAGCGATTGAGGTGTTCTGTTGTTGGATGTAATAATGAACATAGGAGTCGTCGTTTACTCCTGACATCCTAGCCGCTGAAGACACAGTAGATTTTGTTTGTTTCTGAAGGGAATGCTCCCCTGATCTGCCTAAATGTGTCTATGTTCGCGTGAATCATTCATGATCCAGCCTCATCTACAGAAGAAGTGAGTATAATGTTTTGTAATGAATCATTGCAAATCACCTTTCCTAATAATGTGCTAATTAGCAAGTTTCAGGATGAATGCGGCTAAAGTAAACAGTCTCTCTGAGAGCAAAGAGAGGGGCGGGGTCAGCAGAGCTCATTAACATTTAAAGGAAAATGCTACAAAAACGGCTTGATCTGAAAAGAGCTGTTTTTGACAGGGTAAAAAAGGTGTTTTTTATACTACCATTGAGAAATTAACCAAACTATGTTACAGACTTTTCATTAAGACCCTAAAGAATCATATCAACTTGTGGAAAATGGGCATCCTATCTGAACTGATATATGTGCACAGCAAGATGCTTATTGCCGACGACAACACTGTCATCATTGGTGAGTAAAAATAGATATTTGCAGACAGGAAAAAAGCATAATGACTGTATCGTCTGTACACTTGTGCTAGTAGAAATGATGTGGCAATCATGAAACTGCTGCTGTCATAATTTGTGGTAATGTGAAGTAAACTGTTAATATCAGAGAATGACAGAGATGAAATGCCTCCTCCTGCTGTTAAGATGTAGTATTGTAGTCCAAATGTTTAATGCATTTTCAGTACTTTCATTATAATAATCAAAAATGTATATTGCATCCATCAGGTTCTGCCAATATCAATGACCGGAGCATGCTGGGTAAGAGAGACAGTGAGGTGGCTGTCATTTATGAGGATATCCACACTGTGACGTCAGTGATGGACGGTCAGGAGTATCAGGCAGGACGTTTTGGATTGAGTCTGCGGCTGGAGTGTTTCAGGTTCAGGACTCATTCAAGTCTTGCATTTAGTATTTTTAGAAACATACAAATAAGGTTCAAAGATGTTTTCTACTTCCTTTGAAATCAATAGGATGATTCTAGGTGCCAACACTGACCCCAGCATTGATGTGACGGACCCTATAAGTGACCAGTTTTACAAAGAGGTGTGGATGACCACCGCTGCCCGCAATGCAACCATCTACCAGAAGGTCAGCTTAACCTTTTCACACAGTCTCTCTGTCTGTCTGTCTGTCTATCGTTCATAATTAAATGAATAAGTTGCTTTTCATATAACCTAGCTGAAACTTCTCCATCTCCTCCAGGTGTTCCGCTGCTTGCCATCCAGTGATGTTCGGTCAATTTTGGAGTTGGATGGCTTCCTCTCTAAGCCTGGTTTGGAGAAAGAGGACCCTGCACGTACTCAAGAGGAGCTGAAGAAGATTCGAGGCTTCCTGGTCCAGTTTCCTCTCCAGTTCCTCAGCGAGCAGAACCTTCTGCCACCCATCGGATCAAAAGAAGCCATGGTGCCCATGGACGTGTGGACATGAGAGAACCTGCCCACATCACCTGAATAAAATAATAAACTGCAAATCTAGCAGATGTACCAGGAATGACCTAAGCTTTCCTATTGTTTAACGAACACTTCTGAGACAGAAAATGAGGTCTGGAGGAGCTTCAGCCATAAGTTGTTTACCCACTCGGAGTTAAGGACTCCAGACTGGTTTGCTTCATCACTGTTTGAAGCTTGATTGTTTATATATTCTAATACTATGCAACTAATATTATTTTTTATGAACTATTCCCATAAATTCTACAAAATGGTGATATGGATGCTTTTGTGAAGTCTTCAGTGTCCTCGGACACTTGATTGGATGCTGTATATTGGTTTCTTGTTCATTATTATTGAATGGTTTTGTGCCCTGTAACATGCACTGAATATGTATTATTCTCTGCATTGAAGTGCCAACTATGTCTGTGTAACATTTATCTTTTCTCTATATGAAGTGTAAACATTCCTTGTGTACTATATCTCAATGTAATTTATTGTTCTGTGATAGTGGACATGGTCCATTAATTGTTGCTTTCCTATGGTACAAATTGCCATGTTTTGGTGGCCTTATTTGTTTACTGTGTTCTTAATGCTGGGTATGAACTAAAATTCACCAAAGCATTTTTCTATTATGACGAAACGAAGTTGATTTTATAAGAATAACAGACTAGTATTCAGATTTATCCCCATTACTTGTCTAAAATGTACAGTAAACTGTAAAAACATGCTATGCCTGGAGCTCTAATGAAGTTTACTAACCATTCTTGAAATAATGAAACCACTGATCATCATAATTCATTTAGAAGTACTGAATCAACTACAACGGCTATGGTTGAAATAACCTGTCAGGATTTCCATGTCACTGTAAAGATTGCAGCATGTGTGTCCCGCATTCTGAATATGCAGCAAGTATCTTCTAACAGTTGTTAGCCAAGCACTCAAATGTCTGCACTGTTGACTGTGTATCTGCACTTTTATAGAAACTGATTTCTGTTCTCTTTTTGTTTTCTTTTCCTCGTGTCTTTTTACTCCCCAAGAATTGCATTTTTGCACAAAATATGTATCGTTGGGATGTTTATGAAACATGTGAATTGATGTTATAGAAAATTATTAAACCGTGATTTTCACACTACTGAGTGTTCTGTAGGTGGATCTATCTGTCTATATATCTGTTTACAGTATCTTTCTGTCTATCCATTTATCTATCTGTCTATCTATCTTTATATGGCTCTATCATCCATTCGTTCAATATAATGTATTTCTGTCTATCCGTTTGTCTGTCTATCTATCTACTGTATCTATCTGTCTGTCTGTCTTTGTATGTATCTTTCTACAGTATCTGTCGGTCTGTCCATTTGTTTAACTGTGTTTTTTCTGTCTATCCATTTGTCTATCATTTATATATGGCTGTCTATATATTTGTCTGTCTGTCTATCTGTTTGTCTATATATTTATCTATCCATCTACAGTATCTGTCTGTCTGTCTATATATTTATCTGCAGTATCTGTCTATTTATCTATCTATGTGCAGTATCTATCTGTCTGTCTATTATCAGAGTGTTGGGATTTACTGCACAAATGGTTGATTGGAACATCATGTCTGTTCTGCGGCTGACTGTGTGTGTGTGTCTCTGGGGTGTCTGATAATGAATGACTGAATGTGTGAACACCGTCTTACTGTCTCTCAGGTCTGTGTGGGGATGTACAAGATGAAAGCTATTGCACAAGGGAGGCTTCACACTGGCTGAATGCTTGACAGGAATTCACTCTGGGGAAACATGGATTTTTACAAACAAGATGCTTTAAAAAGGAACAGAGTATGATTTCAAGACTCCTGTAAGGCACATTTGTGTGTATTTTTACATAATCTCTAAGGAAACGGTCAGTTCCGGAGTTCCCCCATCCAGCACAAAATTCCTTCAGTAAAATTAATATCCCCATTAAGTTTCAATTCTGACTGAATGATTTCACACATCCACCACTAGATAGAGCACTATTCACTGCAGTATGTCATTCATTTGTAGTTAGATAGATAAATAAACGGATAGACAGACAGATAGATAAATGTATAGACAGACAGATAGATACAAATTTATTGAAAGACAAAGAGATGGACAAATTGATATACAGGATAACAGATAGATACTGTAGATAAACATATAGCTATACAAACGGATAGATGACATGCAGACAGACACAAAGACTATGTATAGGACCTATATATTATATGGGACCTATATGTTATTATATAGGATCTATTGATAGATAGACAAATGGATAGATAGAAAAACACACATGTAAATGGATCATTGCCACACTGTCTCAGCAAGGAATTGAACCCCATTCCAACCCAGAGAGCACACGTACATCTGCAAGATGAGATGTACTGGAAGCATCTGCTGTGTACAAACATCTGATAGACGTCTTTAAGATGCCAGTTTTACATACAGTCTACATCATAAACATCTTAAAGACATTTTCTAAACGTCTATTTGACATTTAATACGAAACGTCCTACAGATGCAAACACTCATCTGCAGAAAAAAAAAGAAAAGAAGACAAATACGTCTTGCAGACGTCAAATAGACGTCTCCGTGATGTACGTGTGTTATCAGGGAAACCAATTGTGAAATGTTGCCGAGCTCATAACACTGAATGGGGCTGGCGTTGTGACAGACTGAGTGTGTCAGAGAGGATGTTTTCTACCAAGGCGAATGCGAGAGGAAGGTGGTGTGGGGGAAGGTGATGTGTTTTATAAATCGTGCTGCTTATATAAACGGAAGGTGAAAGGAAATGTGCTGTGGCTCACTGTCTCACTCACTGTCTGAAATGTGGCTTCCTGTTTCTGACTGCTCTTACACATTATAAGCTGCTCAATACATGCACATAATCACATTCACAACAACAGCTATACATTATCTGCAACAAATGTAAGTACTGTTTTTCCGTTCACAACTCGCTGTCACAATTCAAGGGAGTTGCTATGTGGTTTCTATGGCGTTCTGAGAGGTTTTAACATTCTTATATTGGTTGCTAGGGTGTTCTTAAGACAGAGTCTTAACATGGTGACTGTGTTTATGCAACTGGCCCCTGGGTTGGTGCTTATTCTACTGAAACCTAAAAAAACCCTATGCTAAAACCAGCTGGTTGGCTCCTAGTCATAGCTGTTTTGCAGGCAGGTTTTAAAGGTGTTTTGACCAATTCTGTAGCTGGTCAGGCTGGCAGACCACTGACTAACCAGCTAAAACCAGCTTGGCCAGGTTGAGAGACCAGCTCAGCCAGGCTGGGACACCAGGTAAAACCAGTTACTTCAGCCAACCAGCTTAGACTGGTTATAGCGTTGTTGTTTTTTTTGAATGTGTGTGTGCTACAGCAGGGTTACTCTGGTTTTTATGATTAGCAGTTTATGATTTATTAGTAAGCTTTGTGGTTAAATCCAGCTACTTGAAGAAGTGTGTGTGAGTGTAATTTAACGCAATTATATGTGCTCTTATTATAAGTCGTGTTTGTAGAGTAAAATAGTGAGTTTGGCCCCGCCTTTCACTCAGGCCACGCCCTAGAAACGCTGGTGATTGACACGCCTTCGCCCAGCCCGAGCCTTGATTCACGTCCCCTGGCGCGCTGGTGCTTTCTGGACTCGTGCGGCAACAGATCATCGGTACAAGCACGAGATGTCTCCTTTACATGCAACCATATAGCGGCTAATTCGGTTTTAAACACCCGGACTCGCGAAGAACAGCGACTCCGCAGCATCCGGGAGCTTCGTCTGGTCCGACTGAAGTCAATCCAGCCTGCTTGGTGTATTACACGGATCAGTTCGGCGTCTGTATTCATGTTATTTCAGGCATTATATTGTTGAATATAACAGATAATCATGGCGAGTGACTCTCCTGCGAGGAGTCTGGATGAGATCGACCTGTCTGCTCTGCGGGTGAGTGGAGAGATACAGTGAGATGTTTTGACTTACAATGGGTGAAATATATTGTTCAGCATCTCGCCATTTAATAATGGAGGGGAAATATGGGAGCTGATATTCATGCACCTGACCGAGAAACAGCTTCGAGATGCACGAACGGTTTTAGTATTATTAGAAATATTGCATTATTAGATCTGTGCTTATTTTAGACATAAGTAGAGATGTTTTATTATTAGAAATGTGCCATATATACATATTTTATCAAATATTTTTTAACACAAAGATGCACTATATGTTAGTCTACGAGCATCTGATGAAATTAGAAAAAATATTTTATTATTACTACACAATTCGTCTGGAGTACTTGCTTATGCGGCATGAATGTGCGAACAATAATTGAAACATCCTATTCAATAAACATTAGTCCTTCATTTTTATCCTTAATGTGACTGAGAAGGCCCAAGTGAGTATGGTAATTTTGTTTGTCAGATTTGTGAGCAGTTTGTCGTTTTTTGCGTCATCCGCATTTTGCGTCTAAATGAAATTATAGCTGATACATACAGACTGTATCTGGTATTCATCCGCCACAACTGCCCTATGCTGTATGAGGCCTATAATAAATAGCAATGTGTGCATTGCAGACAGCTTCACTTCTTGTCCCCGCCATTATATGATTATGATATAGCCTACTATCAAGATGGTTCAGTGCCAAACATGTGCACGTATTGTGTTGAATATGTAGCTTCTGTTTGTCTGTCTGCCTTTTGTTCGGTCTGTTTGAGATGATTTCTCTGTGACATACATTCTCTGGCTGGGTGGTCAGAGCGGTGTGTGCTGGGCTTGCTCTGGATCCTGTGAGCTCTGAGCTTCTCTGTGTGGTCTGGATGATAAGTTCCTTGGTTTTCGGATGCTCTGCTTGATGGGTACTTAGTTCCCCTTGCCCACCAACAGGAAAAATCGCTGGCCCTTAAATCTGCTGGACTCAAACCAGGAGTCAACATAGGAGTGCCAGGAGGCAGGATAAAATGCAGTTTCATATTTGTCTGAATCTGGCAAGACTTGGTCACATTTCAGTCTATTGTTTATTGGCAATAGCGCAGAGATGTATACAATCGCAGCTCAGACAGAAGTCACATTCAAGACGAGCAGTTTTCTGTTGGACAGCATAGCAAATTCATGTGACCAACTTGAAAATGTGTGACGTCTGCATTGGGAACTTTTTCAACCTCGTGCAGAAGTCCAGGTTGCACAGATTCAAATTGGAATGACTGGATTTCGCTGAGCAATGGAAAAGTACAAGGATCAGGAGGTGAGATGAAGTAAAATTTCAAATTCGTCTGATTCTAGAAAGATCAAAGTGGTCATGCTAGACTTTGAGCAGGCAAAATTATGAATTGCACTGTTCCCTGCATGACATCACGCTCTGCTGTGTCTTTTTTAAATACATAAATTCTACTTAGAACTAGTAATAATAAATCCAAAATGCAAAAATTTACAATGCACTCCACTTTCCTGCAACTCTGCAAACCTGCAGCTTTTAATTTTGTGCTCATGCTGTGACGTATCAATATTTTATTTGGGTACATGGCTTCACACTTTAACCAAACTTGAACCTTGGAACGCAGCAAGCGGAGAAACTTCTTTGCACGAGCTTGTGTTTCTTTCTGGTAACCTGCATTCATGTGCGAATGAATGGATTGAAAAGTGTACTATGGCTGCTCTTTTACGCATACAAAACTAAATAGCTCTCATTATAATCAATGAATATTTACGCAGTTTACATCGTGAAGGCCCAAAATGACATCCCATATGTTGCGTTTGAACTTTACGTTCCTCAAAATCCAATCAGGCAGCAGATTCATAGAACCAAGGCTCCGCCTTATGTTTTTCTTTTTCAATAATCCGTTACACTCAGTTGTGCGTCAACATACAGAAGAAAAGATTTGTCACTACTTCTGTTTCATCACAACGTCAAATTACGTTGGATGTTAGAACATGTTTTCAAAACAACAAAATTCTGCGGAAATGCTGACCTGCTCCGTGCTGCTCTTTGTTTCAGACGCTCTAGTTTTTAGGCGCTCTATATGATCTGTGCGGAGTCTCTGAATGCTGCAGTAGTGCTGTTCCACACAGACAATGTGCTCCTGCGGTGGGCTTATGTTAGATCTGTTGAGTGAGATGACAGACTCTGATTGTAGGCATGTTAGTTATGCAACATGATCTTACCTGTGCAGCTTGAGTCATGTCTGGACATGATTTGTGAGGTAATCGGTTGATTGTGGGAAGCTGAGAGGGGTTTTACTCTATGTTGCAATGTGAAGCAGTTTAGATTGCAGCTAACCTGTGACTGTTTACCATCACCTGAATGTTTTCAATGCCATTGCATCATATGGCTCAGAATTTCAGTATTATTTTCAGCAGTAGTGCTGAAAATAATGTCATGTGTGCGTCATGCAGGGAATCTATGTTGCAATGTGAAGCAGTTTAGATTGCAGCTAACCTGTGACTGTTTACCATCACCTGAATGTTTTCAATGCCATTGCATCATATGGCTCAGAATTTACTAAAAATATTTTCAGACTTGTGCATTATGAATGGAAAGTTTCCTCTGAATTAGTCAGTTTTATCTGTCGTTTCGGTTTGGTTTGATGTATTTAAAAAAGACACAGCAGAGCGTGATGTCATGCAGGGAACAGTGCAATTCATAATTTTGCCTGCTCAAAGTCTAGCATGACCACTTTGATCTTTCTAGAATCAGACGAATTTGAAATTTTACTTCATCTCACCTCCTGATCCTTGTACTTTTCCATTGCTCAGCGAAATCCAGTCATTCCAATTTGAATCTGTGCAACCTGGACTTCTGCACGAGGTTGAAAAAGTTCCCAATGCAGAAATATTATATTTCTCAATATTTTCAGACTTGTGCATTATGAATGGAAAGTTTCCTCTGAATTAGTCAGAGTTTTATCTGTCATTTCGGTTTGGTTTGGTTTGGCTGAACTGTGGAAACCACTCACCATGCCTGACTGCCGTCTTGAGTGACCATGTCTGTGTTTACATCGCTGTGTAGGCGTTTGGCATTTGAGACACTCTCTAGACTCAGAAACAGTACAGCGGCACTCTCAAGCTTTCCCGTGTCTCTCCATGTTGAGGTATCTTTAATGCTTTTCCCCCCTCACCGCTACCCATGGGCAAAGCTATTTTCCTCATGTCTGCTCATGAGCTCGCCACTCTCTCAGGATCTTTTGTGCTTAAAAATTAGGTCACCCAATACAGTGCGCATGGTCTTGCCTCACAGGGGAAGTGTATGCTTTGTTTCACTGACACAGATCTTGACAATGTGCTTGGGGCTACATATATAGTGCATGAGTCCCAGCAGATAGTTTTATTGAACTTTACATCACGTTAACCTTTGACAAGAACATTTATTTACCTTTGATTCGGTCATGATTTACTCATCCCCATGTCATTCCAAACCTATATGACTTTCTTCTGTGGAACATAAAATAAGATATTGGAAAAATGTTTTTTTTGTGTGTGTGTGTGTGTAGTGTGTACTATGGAAGTAAATGTGGTCCAGTGTTGTTTTGGTCCCAGCTGACAGTACAGAATATCATCTTTCATATTCAACAAAAATAAAACTAATTCAAAATATTAATAAATACTATAATAGCATATTATAAAATACTATTATAGCCTGTTATCATAGCAAAATAGACAGTATAATAGCATTTTAAATGAACCACAATGACTCTGAACCACAATGACTGGTGTCTCTGAGCAGTGCATTATGGGAGTATTCCATGTTGCCATTTGCATATTCATTTTACGTAAGTGTGTGTGTATGTGTGTACATTCAACCTGTTTTGTCAGCATGGAAGAACTAACATATAGTTCCAGCCTCATGTTTTTCCCTGTGAATAATTAATAGGTAAAGGACTATTACATCCCAGAGTCATGTCAAGGGGGCGGGGGGAGTCCCAGCTGTAGATGTCAGCTAGTGTTTTTCGTCTTTTCCTTGTCTCATGATTCTGGCCAGCAGCATCCGCCTCTTGTGCTCCGGGGCTTAATAGAAGCGCATGAAAAGCAAATTCTTCTTACCCTCCTGCAAGTGGGAAGATTATCAGTGCTGTTATCACCGAAGAGCAATCGTTCATCATAACCTCCTCATCACTGAGTAAATGTTGGTGAATGAATCACTGTAAAGAAGCAATAATGTGTTTATATGTGGGAGAAGTTTCCTTTAATGGAAATAATTTTTTGTTATGTTTTTCCCAGATTGAGCATGTTGTATGAATCAGTAAACCCAGTGTTTTTTTGTTATAGCAGTTTTGTTTGGTACACAAAAAAATTATATTTCTTTGTTTTGGGTTGTACTTTTCTGCTTGGAAATATCTGTGGTATCTTGTAGTAATGTTTCACCAAAAAAAAAAGAAGAAATTTCTGTTATCATTTCCTGACACATATGTTGTTCTAAACCCATATGTCTTTTTCTTCAGTAGAAGACGTTTAGCAGATTGTTGATGCTGCTGTTTCCATATAATGAATTTGAATAAGAACTATTCACTGAAAGGTTCTTTGGGGAACCAAAAATTGTTTTTTTTGGCATCGCTGCGAACACCATTTGGAACCTTTAGTTTGTGTAATGAGTGCTCATATCTCATTTGCTCTTGGCCTCACTTGGTCATGTGACATGAGAGAGCCAGTGACATGTGGCATCTTTGATGTCTGATTCGAGAGGAAATATTTCCAATGAATATTGACTTGAAAGTTCACTTTCTTCCTCTCAAAATGCTGTTGTTTGTGACTTGATAGTGCATAGCTACTTCAAGCGCATTGACATTTATGGTATTTTTTGAGCCCTGATCTTTCATTATATGGGAAAAAAACCCAACCGTTTTATGTTTCATGGAATAAAAGAAAGGAATACAGTTTTGGAAAGACATGAAAGTGAGGAAATGATGACTGGAATTTCATTTTTGGGTGAACTATTCCTTTACGCCTGGATTTTCTCA